AAATATTTATTTTTGTTTTTCCTGCAGTTTATAAAAATTGCTCCATCTCAAAAATGTAACTTTGAAGACACTGTTGGAAATTTGTTTTGTGCAATGTTTTTTGCATTTACAGTTCTGAGGGATAAACCTCTGAAATATGTGTAAAAAACAAAACAAAACAAAAACAATTTTTCATTTCTTTGTAGTCTATTGCACTTTTATTGCAATTCATGTAGTTACTCTGGGCTTAATGCAAACATACTATTAAAATTTGAGATATAACAGCTGTATTGATATTTAGCAACTTGAAATGCTCCCAGAAATGGGACTACAGTATGTGAAAATATGAAGATAAACTCTGGCGGACTTGGTTCTATGATGGGCTTTAAAGGGTTAATGTGTCTCTCAGTCTATAATTGTCTTCACAAATGTGTTGGAGATACACAACCATGACAGTAACCAGTTATATGTGACGAGGCATTCATCCATTCACTCTACATCTTTTCACTTCTCACTCGTGACCTGATGCAAAATGTTAAAATGTGGATGTAACGATCGCAGGCTACATCATGTTTGTGTGTTTGTGATGGTTTCCTCTCTGCTTTTCTTGTCATTACACATTTCTGTTTCTGTGTAAATGTTTTTCTGCTGTGTGTGTGTGTGTGTGTGTTTTCAGCTGTTTGTCCGGTCCTGTTTTATTGCACAGTTTCTTCACAGTAAACATCTGTTCAGTCGTTCTCTCCAGAGGGACAGTGGACCCTCTCTGTATACCTACAACTGTGAATCCACCAGCTAATGAGCCTTTCTGACAGACACACACAAACTCGAGTACAGTCTCGCAGTGCTGTGCGCACATAAATGAGCGTTTACACACAAAAACATCGACTCAAACAGCATGTTTCACACAGAGGCACGCATTTTAAAATAATTGTGTCTAATCCTCTTGAAGATTCAGGAAAAAAACAAACAATTTATGTGGAAAGAAAATATATGTGTATCAGTTTGTGTAAGTTCTGCATCATCAGCACCGTCAAACCAAAACTGCAGCACACTGTGTGTCTTATTAATCACGCGTTTAACAAAGCAGTCGACGCTCTCGAGGGAAGAATGTGTCACTTAATCTGTTCAGCTCTGACGAGTACAGAAAGAAAAGCAGCTATTGGCCCTAACGATGGAAGCTTTTAAGCAGTGTTATTTAACATCAAAATTAGTGCTGATTTGACTGTGAGAAAGACTTTGTTTACTGTTTTCTTGCTGCCTATCACACAGACTCAGCAATCAACGACGCGGTAACTGCAGACTAAAAGTCACGTCTTGGTTAAAACAAGCCGGCAAAGAGTCTGGGCACTGGGTTTGAATGCCTCGCAGGCACCTCCCCGTGGAGCTTTCACGGGATGTCTAACTGGGAAGAGTTCCCAGAACAGACCCAGAACACACTCGGGGGATTTGATGTCCCACTTGGCCTTTAAATTTCTCCACGCAGATGCCATGGATAGCAAATCTACTGCACTTGCTGCAATTAAGAGCCCGTCCTGAGGAAAAATGGACTGATAAGATAAAGAGGACTGAGACGCGTGCGTAATACTGATGCATTCTTTGAATTAATGCGGTACAAGATGTAAAATCGAGCTGACAATAGCTGGTGGGATCTGTAAATGATGAACGCAGCAACATTTTACTGATGCTTTTCAAGCGGAAAGTAAATGTTGACTCAATATCAAGGATGGAAAACATTCGAATTTGGACACGAATAGCAGAAAAAGGCAAATGGACCGCATTTGTAGAGCATTTTTCAAATCTTATTGACCACTCAAAGCACTTTACACTACCAGCCACATCCACACACATACCCACAGGGCACTTTGATTGTATACATAAAGCACTCTCGCTGTCTACACGTACACATCAGGCAGTTTTTTAAAACCTTTTCAGTGTCTTGCCCAAGGACTCGTCTTCATGTGAGGAGTTGGAAATTGAATCATCGACCTTCATATTAGTGGACAACCCACTCGAATTCCTCACTTGGTGGATTTATAGTTAACAGTTTACTGTAAAAAAACACTTTGAATTGTCGCACAACTCAAACCGTACATGAGTGCTGAGTACTGTATACTGCACCTATAAGACTAAGAGCAGTGGTCCCGTGTAGGAGGGCATGGGTCAATTACAGCAGACCCGCTCAGGCTGAAAATATAGGGCACTCGGACTATTGTAATGCACTTCTATGTGCAGTCATGAAATCTTTATCTAAACTGAAGAATGGGGGAGAGAGAAAGCACTGACCCTGTGATGCTTTGCTTTCTGCTTTTAAAACATTTATCTTTCCTGTGTCTTTGTGCAAAGGGAAGCAAATGTTTCAGAGTGCAATCTGGAAATCAGTGCGCTCGGTGCTCCTTAAATATCACGGGACTCAGAAATAGCAAGATATTCTACTAAGACATATACTGCTGCAAGTCCGTGCACTCAGAATTAATCTGGCTGACCTTAAATGTAGAGAAAACAGTGGGAAAATAAAAGTTTGGTTTCTTTGTTTAATGGCGGAAGAAAAACTAACACGGCTGCTTTCACAACTACAGATAAGGAATCAAATCAATCCGGCCTTAAAGTGAGAAGTGCTTCCATACGTACTCTCCTCTTTTTGAGTGTACACCTGCTGGCACATTGTCAAGTAAAGCTATATGGAGGGCACTGCGAACACATACACTTCTCCAAGCCCTCCAAACGTTTTCAGCCAGCAGGAGGAGAGTGTGTGCTTAGTGCAGCAGATAGTGCTACAATCATAGTTTGATGTCCATGTCCAATTTGAGACAACAGGAAGCGGTCAAAGCTCACTCATTCCTACTTGGAAGTGTGTTAAATGAATTAAATGGCTTCAGACTCATAACAGGAGGTAAACGCAGAGTTAATGATGTAACTTCTACTGAAGCTGAGTGTGTTTCCTGTTGTCACAGTAACACTGGTGTAACACAGGAAATGAGCCAAACTTTAAACAATCCAGAGAATTTGAACATGGAAAATGGGGCTACAGGTGGAGCACATCCCACCTGTTGACACAAAACCTACAGCTAATTTAGAATAATCAGCAAACATTAGGCTCAAACCCAGAACAGTGACAGCACAGTGCTGATGACAGCGCCACTGTGCTTCATGGTCAAATACATTTATCTAAACAGTACACTGATGTCAATATTGAAATCGCTGGTGTAGCAGTAAAGTTATCCTGCCATCAGAAGATGGTACACCGTGGTTGTAATGGGATGAAGTCAGCAGCAGTTCTCAGGAGCGCTGTGATAGGATGCTGGGCTCTCAGGCCACCATCATGAAGTCTGTGTCTTATTGTGTGGCCAGGGTCAGTCATGATAGTTTCCTGCTGGTGGTCACACTAATCATGTGATTCTCATGTGTTGACCCAAGGTGAGATCTAAAACCTGCAGGACACCGGCCCTCGGGGCCTGGAATTGCCCGCCCCTGCTCTACGGCCCGGTAGAGTAACAGCCTGGCTCCTGACACACAGCAAAGCTTCTGGCTGCGGTACACATTGATGTGCCACCCTGGAGGAGCTGAACTACCTGTGCAACCTCTGTAGGGTCCAGTTATCCTGTCTTCCTTCTCTCACTCCAACCAATCACAGCAGATGGCCCCGCCCCTCCCTGAGCCTGGTTCTGTTGGAGGTTTCTTCCTGTTAAAAGGGAGTTTTTCCTTCCCACTGTCGCCAAAGTGCTGCTCATAGGGGGTCATATGGTTGTTGGGTTTTTCTCTGTATGTATTATTGTAGGGTCGACCTTACAATATAAAGCACCTTGAGGCGACTATTGTTTAGTGCTGTATAAATAATATTGAATTGAATAGAATGGAGTTTATTCCCCACATTTTTACACCCAAACCACTAACCTCCATGCTTTCATGGTATTTACACCAAATTCTGACGTAAGTAGCAGCTGATCTGCTGTATATAATAAACAGGCTGCAGTGGGCAAAGTGGACAACTGCCCGGCCTTTCCTTGTGTGGCTTGTGGAGATCTGACTGAGACAGAAACTTTTGGCTTTTATCTCCTTAAATCCTTCATTTCATCTTTATCACACGTTGGATTTGTTTGTGACCTGATTTCCGGTCTTCTATCTCGTCTGTCAAACATTAACTACACATGCAAGCTGAATGAATTGGTCTAATGAATCACTCTGATCAGTCCATAGAACATTAACAGTTTCCTTTTATGTTTTAAGAACTGCAGTTTGCTTCTTTTTAGTTCCAACCTGTTGTAGTAAATCCTCCAGCCTTATGCTGTGTTAATCAGACAGGTAAACATGCATGCCTCCACACTGCAGAGGCGTTGAACGCTGCTGTGCAGCCACGAAGGGTTAAATCAAAATGCCAACTTTTGACTCTCATCAGCTCTGAGCTATCAGCAAACCCACGAAATCTGGGAACAAAGGGTTACGTCTCCCACACATTTATATTAATATTGATATAAATCTATTCAAGTTAAAGCTGCGCACTTTAATTTAGCATTCATATTTCATTTCCAGCTGAAATAGTGTTTAACAGCTATGAGTCGTCCGAAAAGACGACCCAAATGAAGGACACACGTATGATAATAATAAAAATAAATTTCATTTTAGATGCTT